TATTCAGTTTTCAGTTTTATTTTGATTTTCTTTCTTAATTTAATTACTTTTCCTTTTTTTCTAGACTCCTGGAGTAGTCAGCCAAGGCCCCAAAGGAGACCCTGTAAGTGCAGCTTTTTCTTTTTTCCAGGGAAACTAACAAAATCAAGAGCAATTCCTATAGTGCTATATATCCCATTCAAGCTGCTGAGATATCCCGCTTTCATTGATGTCTGCACTGTCTGCAGGACTGTGCCATACATGTATTTTGAAGTAGCCCTTTAGCTTCAACAAAACTCTCAAAAATTTAAACTGGAAAAACAGAGAGAGAGAGAGTTTAGTCCAAACTGTATTACATTTGTTATTTTTTGTTATATTTCTTCCCATTAGAAAAAAAAAAATCTATGGACTCCACTAGCAGTATTAATTTTAGATTCAGGAATTGGCCTGTTTAATATTTCTAGTGTGTTTGATCAAATATCAGCTGCAATAAGGCTCCAGCAACTAAGAAGTGTTTCCATGTGTGAATTTTGTCTACTGTCTATGTCTTCCCTGAATGTTCAGTTGTGGTCTTAGTTTAATAGAGAAAGTTTCCCACCACAATCACACAGACTTTGTTACAAATAGAAGGATTTGTCCTGCGATGCCCTTGCAGTTGGAGGCAAGTGCCAACGGCTGTATCTGCTCTTTTTGTGTCTTTGCAGGGTCCTCCTGGGGTTCCAGGCAGAAATGGTGCCCCTGGCCCTCCGGGACAGCCGGGGAGTCCTGGAGCTCCTGGCCCGCCCGGGATCTGCCAGTCGTGTCCCAGTATAAGCGGAGGCGTAAGTCATCATTACGTTCAGCTCCTACTTTGTTGCTCATAAGCATACAAAGCAATACTGTAGGCACCTAGCCCTTGCACCTTCACACATTCTTTGCTTTCAGTGGCATCTGTCTCTCATTGGTGCCTTTGAAAAACACAGCTGAGTGGTAGGTGGGGTTTTGTTGTTGTTTTGGGGTTTTGTCCACAAAATTTGGCAGGAGTGCAATTAAATCTCTGCCTTATCTTATTTTTTAAAACTTTTGGAGCCAGATCTGATGAAGGACTTACGTAAGTCAGAAATAATCTGGCCAGAAGGAAAGTGTGCGGGAGGAAGTATGTCCCCTCAAGCTTAATGGTTAGGGAACTCTCTTACTTTCCTATATTTTATCCAATGCATGCTTAATAAAGAAACATTCCAAGGAGACTAGACCGAAACACAGGTTGCAGGGAAGTGCCGTGTAAGTACTATTTGCCACGCTCCCTCTTTATTTCTGGCCTACTGAACCTTGAATTCTCTTCTGAAGAGTTGGACAGACTCAGCAAGAGAGCTAATTTTAACTAAAGTTTCTGTGCAGTTGGATTTGTTAAGGGAGCCGAGCCACAGCTAGTGCTTTAAGAGATGACATTGTCTCCCATGCAATTGAGCAAGCCTAGCTTTACAGGGTGGGATTGCTTTAGAACAAAACTGTTAAAAATCGTGTGTTAAAACAATTGCTACTTTTGAACATAGGCCACTGTTTATAGCTTCCATGTACGCTTCCCACTCCCAGGTAAGCCAAAAACTGAGGAAAGATGTCTTGGTTTTACTTAATTCTGAAAGGGATTGCATCTGAAGGACTGAGCTTCTGGGAGAGGTACCCATGGATCGGTTAACCAGTCTCAGTGGACATCACAATAACATACCAAGAGAGCTACTGGGTTTGGGTTGGCAGATGCAGACACAGGAGAGGATGATAGGCTGAATTAGTCACTCACTCCAATGCTGTGTCAAAGATGTTGAATCCTGACAAGAGGGTTGATACCGGCAGCACAGGAGTCGTCTTGTACCTGGTCAGCGAAGGAGCTGGTTCCACAGTGGTTTGGGTTATCAGGCAGAACACTGCGTGTATTCAACCTTTCCTGCTCAACGACCTATGTGCCATTAATGCATAAATTGCATTAATGCCATATTATTCAACTAAGTTTGTTAACATCTGCATAATAAAATCAATGTATGCCAATTAAGAAGGAATTCCTTGAAAAACTGTAGAATTTATAGTTTTCTTTTTTTTAAACAGCATTTTATGTAAATGGGTGTGTCAAAGATGCTATCTGCTCTCAGAAAGGCCCACAGTACCCTTTTTCACTCCATGCCTTGGACTGACCTTCCATTTGTTTCAAGATAAATTGTCAAAAGCATTGAGGCTTGGCTGCTTGGGCTCAAAAGCGATGATCGTATTTAAATTTTTTGGAGTGACAGTGAATGGGAAGGGAGAAAGGGAAGGATGGAAAATGGCATTAGGAGAAAAGTGTAACATTCAATTTTCTGAGATGTGTAAGTTCCTATGCATGAGGTAAAAAAAAATGTATTGGTAATTCAGGAAAGGACACACTTATACGTAGATAAGAGATTTTTTGCTACAAAATACTCTGAAATGAGACATTCATTAATCAAAGGTAAAAGAAATGGGGAGACTAATAATAAACTGTTAAACTGTCGCATTCTTTAGTGCAACAGAGAATATTTCATCAACTTCCTTGAGTGATAACTAAGGCTAACAGAAAACAGGCTGATAAAGAAAATGGGAGAAAAATCTTAAAAGGAGTCAAACAAGAATGAGAAAAGGAGAGGGAAAGGTAATTTTTTGGCTCAGCTGAGGCCCAGCTGTCAAGTTGAAAACTGGATGCGCACAGCACAGGGAGCTAACGTTACCATGACCACAGAAGAAAGGTATTGGCTAGGCTTCTCTTATGGATGATTTAAAAATATGGCAGCTATATGCCAAACAAGTACTACTCAATAGATACAAATGAGTTATTTTCATGCATTTGCCATACCAATGTAAGAAAAGACTTATTTGATTTGTAACAATCACCTTTTTTTTCTTTTTTTTTTTTATTTTCCTTTCTGTTTTTCTCTATTTCTTTTACAGAGTTTTTCTCCACAGTATGACTCCTATGATGTGAAGGCCGGTGCAGTTGGTATCGGTTACCCACAGCCCATTGTAAGATGATGTAGCCTTTTTTCTGTCCTTTTTTTTATAAAGAACAAATTTTCTGCCCGTAGATTATACCATGGATGTGTATGTATCCTGATTTTAATTTAACAAGAAATGTTTTAATTTAATTGTTGTCTGCAAGTGGAATGCAATGTAAGGCAGCGGTTTGCTTGGCAATATCATTCTAGAAAGTAACTATGGATTGTCTGGGGGTTTTGCCTTTTCTCCCTCTTTCTTCCTTTTCTTACCTTCTTTTTCCTAATGTCTCTCTGATTCACTTTCTTACGCTACTTAAAATTTATCCCTTTCTCTCTTGCATACCCTCCTCATTTATCTACTTTGGTATTCTTCTACTAATTGCTTCCCTCCCTTCCACCACTTTTTTACCTCTTCCACTGTCCTAATCTTTCTTTATCCATTCAGCAGCATTCTGTCTTTACTTACTTTATTTTATACCCCGTATAAAATAAATTTAAATGTTGCACCTGATGATTTTCCTTTTAGGCACTGGGATTTAGAGGTATTCACCACCGATGACATGGAGTGTTCTTGATTCAGGCAATCTGCTATATAGAAGATGTGGTGCTATTATTTGAAATTGGTTGCTGCTTCATTAGGCATAATCATTGTTTTCAGTTCAATGCTGCATAACAAGATTTGGGTATCACGTGTTGTAACATATTGAAGCAGTTCCAAGCAAACGTTATTTCTCAGGGTTCCATCAGATCATCTTGTGAAATAAATTTTACTGATCATGACAGCTGTTTTTCCTGAAATATAGTTCATTATTTCCTCACCTTTATTTTAATCTGTTTATTTCTACCTCGTTCATTTGCTAATATGATCATCTATGCATTGGTCTTCTTCAACCATCCGTTTTTGTATTTGTTTATTCATTTATTCATATTCAGCTCCTCACAGTTTTTGCCCACAGTTTATCATATCATCTACATTTTGCTACTTGGTGTCTTAATATGGGATGTACTGAACCAGGCAGATAACCGAGATACCTTTCAGTTAACAAACATGGTTACTCCTCTCTATTTTGGCATTTTTCCCTGAGGTGCTTAGTGATTTCTTGTGCTCTGATCCCTGGACTTGGGTTAAAAAAAGATAATTTAACTGCACACCCTAGAAGGTCTTCAGCCAGAATTGTCTGTATGCTTTCAGATCATATGTTCTTTTATATTGCATCATGCAATGCATGACTGCAAAGCCAGTAACAGAGCAGTTACAGGCAGACGTGACTAAACTCACTAGAACTAAATAACGTTTATCACTAACATTACGTAGATGAATTTATTTATTAATTTATAAATTTAATTTATCAATTTTCAACTTAAACTTTCAATTTAATAAGTATCCAAACTGAAATAATTTGGAAGAGTAATAAAATAAAAAATGCCAGCTATAGCACCAACATTTGTCCTAGGGTGGTTACCATGCCTGGCATCTCCTCAGTCACACATCTCTCCACTACTGTCTTTCCGGTGGCTTTCCACTGCTTGTAGACTGATTCTGTACTTTACACCTCTTTTTCTTTCTAAAGTTTCTCTTTACTTGCTCATATAATCTCCACATATTACCTTTGTCTCTTCCCACCAGTGCACTTATTCTAACTAAAATATGCTCATTTGTTCACAGTCTGGTGATGCTGGCAGCAAGCAAACGCCAAACCTAACTATCAGTTTATCTCCTCAGTGTGCACCTTGAAAAAAAATGTCTTGTTTGTTTGTAGCCTGATGGATTGATTGCAATTGATGAGTTGATGGTTCCAAGTCATGCTAACTCCAAACTTATTTTGTACCAAATGAGTTCTAAAAATTAACAGTGAGGGACTGCTCGTTGTATTCACACATTGAAGACAACCCGATTTACCCAGACACTAACTGCTCTGCCACTTGGTGTACTTCTTGTCTTAGAAAATAGCAAATATTACAATGATTCTCTTTTTTAGACAAAAGACAATCTGTGAACTAATATTAACATAGTACATGTGTAGTATAGTAGTATACTATACCACATATACCAGTATAGTATAGCTATACTATTAATTTTGTATTATCAAAATTATGTTCCTGTAACATCTATAATACGTGACCTATTCTGACACCATACAACAATATCCCATGAAACACATTATGTGCAATATTAAGCTACGGAATATACTGCCAGTACTGCAGCACACAGTGATTCTCATGTAATTCATATACTTCAATTGTTTTGGTTGTATCAAACCCATGAAGAGTTTAATTTAACAAAAGCTTTTTTAAAAGAACCATATATAGCTGCAATAAACCACTGTGCTAATTTTCAAATGTTTTCTGTTTTGCAGTATCAAATGCTTTTGTGGTTGTTGCTACAGGAAGTAGAAATATTAGCACTCTTCCCAAATTGAGAATTTCCTTAATAATATTTTAGTCCCTTTTTACCAGCTAAAATAAGGAACAGTATTACTGATTTGAGTTAAAACATACGTATATTGAGATTTCATCCTCTGAGTCCTTTGGTTAGCCCAGACATCATTTATTTTTTATGGCTTAGAACTGTTAAAGTTCAGAAAAGATTTCAGTGGTGAAAATGCTTGCCTTACTGACAAGTAACAAAAATATGGCCTTAATTCAGTATACCTGTGAGTCCTAAGAAGTCTAGGGTCATAAACAGAGTTTATCATACAAAGTTCTTCTAATGGGTTGTGTATGTATGTGTAGTATAGCTCCCGAATGCAGGTGAGAAATTTCAAAATTAGTTTTAGAAAGCAAAATCTGGCATCAACAGACTAGCAAGCAAGTTTATTAGTACACTTTGGCTCCACCACTGAAGATGTAGGGTTAGGCTAAATAAGCTCAGTTAAATGGCAGAGAAGCTGAAGCTCATTTACTCTTTTCAACAAATTAAGAGTTCCAGTTATCTATCTTGCCAGTAGCTGAAAAGCTAAGCTGCGAGCATCCTTTTGCGGGTCTAGGAAGTGGAATAGTGACTCAAAAGAAAAAATTACAGCTTTGAAAATATCTTGTGGAGTATGTTAGCTAAGGCTGCAAAGAGAAACGTTTTCTGAAGGGACTGTAGGTACTAGACAATGTTTTTAACAATGCGTATATATACTGCTTTGTCTTTTTTACTGCACCAAGTGCATGTCACCGTGGATTTTTCTCTGTACTAATACGTAAAAATTTATTTCACAGTTATTGGTGACTCTTGCAACTACATTAAGCTTTAATAGCTATATTACATTCATATAATGACTTTTTTTTAATCTACACTGTAGAGTGGCTTTCCAGGACCCCCTGGCCCCAGTGGCCCCCCTGGCCCACCTGGTCATGCAGGACCCCCTGTAAGTAAAATTAACCTTTTCATTATCATCTCATTCTTTTATACGAGCCTCTCGTTTTCTCTGACATAAATATTAGGTACATTTTCAACTTATTAAATCTGTGCTGAAGAATTTTATGGATAAATGTCATCTTCTATTAATTGAGCTGTACCATCTATGCACCACCAAGACTCAATGGCTGAGTGCTTGCTTAAGTCCGTGTGTTCCCCTGCACTTTCTGCAATTCTGTGGGGTGTCAGCTAAGGTCGTCTTGAGACATGCCACTGCCTATCATTCTCTGTTAACATTCCCAAATGTTTATTCATACAAAAATTTTACAGGAGATAAAGGAAAGTGGGAATCCTGATACACATTCCATGAATACACAAAGAGTCTGAATATTTTGATGTACATCTCCTTTTAGAGGAGTAGTTTTAATTCTGTTTTCATGGAGGTGTATTCCGCCTGGTTCTGCTAATTTCGCCTTTGGTCATTCGGTGACACTTCTGACTAACATTTTCCTTATGATTATGAGATTATTGTAAAACATAGTAGCACCATGGAATGATGCATTTAACTGTTCACATCTTAACTGATTTTTTGCTGCATTATAGGGCTCTGCTGGATACCAAGGTTCCCCTGGCGAACCAGGACAACCTGGCCCTCCTGTACGTATACATTACCTATCACTATAGATGTTAAAGGCATGATCTCACAAGCGTGAATCGTTGTCATCACTGGAGTGGATTGCAATTTTACAGTTCATCCTGTCTGTTTACTATCATGTATGTCAAACAAGTATTTTACTATCATGTATGTCAAACAATGCAAGTATTTTATGACACCTAATGCTTTTTGATTTGAAAAAGATTTAATATTTATTATTATAGTTAATATTAATTATTTCTCTACAGGGACCTCCAGGCCCTGTTGGAATGATAGGCCCAGTTGGTCCACCAGGAAAAGATGTAAGTTCACTATTATTCATCCAGTGATTAATAAATGGGAAGAAAGAAAGTTCATTAAATGGTAAGATAGCAGAGCACATTGATACCATTGCATTTAAGAATTTTTAACCTCTCCCTATTTCTCAATTTGACAACATGACTGTAAGAAACTAGATTTGCTTTATGTTAAGTATAAATGTCCATTCCAAAAAAGTTTCAATTTTAGCAGGTAATTTGATTGACACAATTTAAAAAAAAAAAAAAAAGATAACCTAAGCATGAAATACCCTCTTTTGATCTGGTGCAAAATAAATTAGCAGTTATAAAGAAAAGCAGACAGTAGTGGTAGTTGTCTGTTCCCTTCGAGTCTTGCTTTGAGAGTTAAGCCTGTTAAAACCATCTTTTGTGTCCCAGCTGGGAGTCTGAATAGGTATAGTACAAGGTGAGACAATCAGCTGAAGTTTTTGTCCATTTTCAGTGTTTCACCATGAAAAATGAGTTTTCTGTGGTCATCTTTTCCTAAAAGTTGGCTTGAAATAAATTAGATGTTAACTGAAATCTTGTTAAAAATTGAGTTTATAAATTCTGGCAACTGTTTTTCAGACGGCAGTCATACACTGAACCATCACCCTGCTATATTTTCCCCATTGTATCTGGTGGAAGTTTCACCTGCTTATTCTGACTCGCCTTCATCTACTAGGACTAGTTCTTTGCCAGTAACTGAAGCAGTAGCAAAGCAATCAAAAAAATTTACTTTCTTTCAATAGGGAGAACCAGGAAGACCAGGCAGAAATGGAGACCGTGGAATCCCTGGATTACCGGTATGGAAAAGCCCCCAATAACAATGGTCTTCTAATCAATGGTTTTGTTTTCCCATTTTAAGTTAGTCAAGTGAACATGACACACAATAAACATTGGCTTGTGCCCTTCATCCTGTAAATATGGGATTTACTCATCTTTCTATATTTGTGTGTTTAGGGTCACAAGGGACACCCTGGAATGCCTGGGATGCCAGGGATGAAAGGTCAACGAGTAAGTATTGAGTATATTGAGTATAACTGAGTCTGTTACTCTACTTGAATTACGGTGTTGCACTGTTGCGCTCTTTCAGTCATCAACTCCCAGCTAAAGAGACTGAATCATACAATTAAAGATCAATTTCTGGACAATGTAATCTGACCTTCCATAACAAAGACTGTTAAATTTTATCTTGTTACCTCAATTGTAGAGCTCCATCCTGAATGCTGGGCTGAAGCATGCTTTCCAGAAAAGCATCCTCTCTTAACTAATGGCCATGGAGAGATGGAGGATTCAGAATTTTCTTTCAAAAAGTGTTCCAATAGATGATAGCACTCATTATTAAAAATATACCCCTTTATATGAGTTTGTTTTGAAGCTTAATATTTTGCCAAGAGGAATCAAGTTTTCCAGAAAGCAAAAGCAATACTGTTCAGATATGGTTTTCCTTTCCCACAGGGTTTTGATGGAAAAGATGGTGCCAGAGGTGACAGCGGTGCTCCTGGTCCAAAGGTAAAAAACTGTAGTGTCATCTTTGTAATAGGTAGAGTAATACCCTCCATCATTTATATAGCTATGCTTTGCATATTATGCAATTATAAAAATCCATTAAACATTAAAGAAACTCATTGAATATCTCCGTGAAAAGAATGAGAATCATTCCAAAGGAGTTAGACTTTCTGAACCACATCATGTCCTGATTTTCCAGCCGTAACAAAGATGAGATTCCAAAATGAAAGGACATGCCTGGATCATCTGATTTTATTGCATAATATTAAAGGACCAAGTCTTCCTGATTTTTCTTTTCTGTTTAAATATTGTGTTCTGGCATTTGTATAGACTTCTCAGACCTCACAGACCTCAGTTCATGCTGAGGACACTCAGCACCACACAGAAAGGGGCAATGGATTGGGCTGTTTCATTTCTATGTCTCTTCCCCTTGAATAAATCAAAAAATTTTCTCACCAAAGTTCATTCTGTCATTGTTTGGTGTTTTCTTTACATAATAGGGTGAAACTGGTCTTCCTGGAGCTAATGGATCACCAGGCCAACCGGTAAATATGTGTATCCTGTAGTATTTAAATTAAAGTACCAGTGGCACTTGCCAGTTAACTGAGTTACTCATCTTTCTTTTAACTTTAATTACCCACTGCATGCATTGAACATTACTGTGATATACAAATAAGAGCAATGTCTTTTTGCTTGGCCATATTATTTTGGAAGCCATTTAACAGACTCATTTTCTTATGTTTTCTAGGGACCAAGAGGTCCAGCTGGTGAAAGAGGAAGACCTGGGAATCCTGGTGGCCCTGTAAGAAATTGCAGCTGTTGTTCTTATCCAGAAGCAGCATATATTTTGTTTCAATATGTTGAGAATTCCCTGTTTCATAGATTTACCTTAAAACAGTTGTAACGCAAAGGATTAGAAAACTATATAGCATCTGTATAATCATACATGAAAACTTTTCAGTGCCCAATTAAAGATGTAACACTTCTAACTCACAACATTATCACCGTCTTATTCTCTATTTCCTTTTTCAATGAATAAATTACACATTGAGGGAGAGTTCAGTGTTTCAGCATAAGCTCAGGTTCAGCCAAGAGGAATAGGGAGGAGGAGTGGAAGCAAAGGGCAGCAGCAGAAGGCAAAGAGAGGGAAAAATGCAATCTCAGAAGTAGCTTGCAGGAAAAAGATAAAATTACTCTTTGACCGAGATTAGGGGATATATTCTTTGCTCTGAAGGAAGTCATAGTTCATAGCATCCAACACAATCAACAAAGCACAGCAAAAGTATAATAACCAGCAACTTGTTCGTACAAACAGCATACATAACCCGAGCAGCGGAGCTGGTCTAACATGTCTACAAGACAGGCAACAGGATTTAAATCATACCACTGTTTGCTAGGTTTTTGGAGTGAAATTTTAGTCTTTTATGTGAATTAGAAGTAACTTTTATTTTGAAATATACAACATCTATTGCAATCTTATTTATCTAACCTTAAGAACTGGCCACACAGATGGTGTTACAGCTTTGTAACTGTTATTTCCTTAAGAAATTGAATAATTTTTGCATCTTGCTGTTTCATTGTTACAGTACAAGTCACATAAAGTGACTTCAATAATATTTAGTTAATTATTATTTTAGAATTTCACAGTTGAGGAATCCTTGGGTCTTGGTCAACTAAGTGGGAATATACAGACACAAAAAGATGGTCTGTGAGTCATGGGCATTAAAGCATGTGGATTCTGTGTCCAGGGTAGTATTCTGTACCCAATATCTCTTTTCTTTCTGTAGGGTGCCAATGGCAAAGATGGATCTCCAGGAGCAGCAGGCACACCTGTAAGAAGACTTAGACATGTTTGACTTTAAGTATTTGTGTTGCTCAAGTCTAGTTACTTCTAGCTGATGTTCCACAGTGCCAGCAAACCCAAAAGTGGGGGTGCACTGGTTTAAGAATGAGCATTTTATTGAATTATATTTCATAACTGTATTGGTTAACATACTTGAAGCATACAGTGGAATAGGAAAGCTTTAACACTGTAAATCAGAAAATGCATAAATCCAAAACCAGACTGTTCTCAGAGAACATATAGATGGATGGAATTGCTGATCTCTGTGCAGATCAAATTTTGAATGGTCTTATCAAATACATTATTTAGCTGTCTGAGGTGGGCAAAGGCTTTTCCTTTCCACCTGCCTAGAAACCGGAGCATGTCCACTTGTATATGTAAGAGCTATTGGCTTCTTTTTCTCCTACACCTTTTTTTATAATTACAACAAGTTTTGGACATTTTTTATAACCTCATCTCTTTAATGATAGATTTCATGTTTTTTAAATTTACGATAGAGAAATTTAGCTGAACGTGTAAAAATCAGGGTAACTAAGATGTAGGTGTGATATTTTAGGACTAGCCAAACTTCATCTTCTACAGCATGATTTATATTTGCTATTTTTGCCAGGTGTTTCCTTACTCAGAGACAAATCTCATAATCAGACTTTTTTTGACTTAAGATTATTTCCATATGGCTTTTACCTCTTGTATTAATAATATTTCTTATGGTTTTAAGGGTCCCCCGGGTCCCCCTGGAACTGCAGGATTTCCAGGCTCTCCAGGTTTTAAGGTATTCAGCTAAAGATGCATACTAATATAGGATTTGGTCCTTTCTGTAGTTAGCCAGCTTATGCCACTATACGTCTTTATTTTATGAGTCCTCCTTTTTCTGGCTGCTGTTACAGTGTTTGCAAGCTTAGAACTGATGTGTTTTCATATGCAGCATGAGACAAACCCTATCCTCATTATCTTCACGAATACCCACCCCAAAACACCATTAAGTGGTAGACCCAATGCTTTATGTTGCATTATGGGAGGGGCTCAGGTGAACTTCCCACAACAGGGGAGCTGTGCAGCATGTGCTGGCTGGAGTGCATTGGTACCTTGTGCCTCAGCAATGGGGTCACCGTGCTGATTTGTCTCTTCACTCAGATGATGATGGTGTAACCTTCTTCCCAAATCACACAACAATGCCACAGCAGAGGAAGAAGCCATGAAGCTAATACTTGTTGCCCTGGAGATGAGACTAAAATGCATTAATTTTCCCCTTTTACTGTTTTTCTATAGGGTGAAGCTGGTCCTCCTGGTCCTGCTGGTTCTAGTGGTAGTCCTGGAGAGAGAGGGGAACCTGGTCCTCAGGGTAGTGCTGGGCCACCCGGGCCACAGGTACGTAAATACCACACAGGAACTGAGAAGTGTTCTGCCACCTGCTCTTCACAAAGCCCTACATGTCCTTTGGTTTAGTCCTAGGTTAGCAGCATCGGTTATTTAAAAATTTTTTTTTTCAGGGCCCTCCTGGAAGAGCTGGAAGCCCTGGCAACAAGGGTGAAATGGTGGGTACTTATATCACTGTCTTTTGCTGCACTGTGTTGGTGAAGGTCGCTGTTTGGACTGGGCAGAGTCCAACAATGCCGTGCTCTCTTCATCCTCGTCTGCTGTTCACTCTCTACAGGGGCCTTCTGGTATTCCCGGTGCTCCTGGTCTGCCAGGAGGCCGTGGTCTTCCTGGTCCTCCGGGTACAAGTGGAAATCCTGGAGCAAAAGGCACTCCGGTGAGTTACTAGTATTCACTGGTTGTACAAACAAATATGATAGAAGTAGTTCTGATACCATTAAAAAACCACATTGTGTTTGTCCTATTCACTTAAGATGGTCTAATAAATTATTTTATAATAACAATAGGCAATTATTTTTATAA